AGGTCTGTCTTTTAGAAACTCTTTAATGAATTTAGTCAGGTGGCCAATTTGTTCTCATACTCCACTTTTCAGGTGCTGCTTCTAGACAGTCTAGCTTTCCATTACCCTTGTCAATGACAAAGTATCTAGTGTACCAATTTTAGTGTTTGTGTAGTCAGCAATTTAATGAGCCTTAAATAACCCAGCTGCCTCTTGCACTTCTCACTTCAGGTTGTTTGTAAACAAAAAGTGAGAAGCAGAAAATGCATGTCTAATCAGATCTCAGCTCTCTTGTCTTTGTACATATTGCATGTATGTTCATGTACCCATATAACTTCCCTGTATTACACAAGAGAAGTTAAAGTGTCCAAAAGCCGTCACTATTGGGCAGTTGTGAGATTAGAGGGTTTTTTTTCTTTATTGGTTATCTTAACAGCAGAATAAAGAGTGGAAAAGCTGTTTTCATTAATGAAGTCATCCTAGTATTGATTTTAATCATAATATTATTTAGTCTTTAATTTCTCTTTTGTTAATATAAAGAGAGGAGTCTGAAACAAAAACTCGTATTTAAGAACCGACATTGGGGAAAGTTTGGCTCTGTTGTGGATTCAGACTTTAGAGTGGACACTGCTCTGCAGGTTTTCATGAACCACATAACAATCAAGTTCATAATGTGACATTCACCCTGGGAAGTGTTAAAAGGATCATTATGTATAAAGCTCTGTTCTTCTTGATGCTGGAGAGATCTTAAACTTGGAATACTGTATTCATCATAGGGTACCACTCTTCAGAAAGATGTAATAAATGGAGAGAATCTAGAAAAGAGCAATAAGAGTCAGAGGGTTAGGAATAAGGATAGAAGGAATGAGGGTTAGTTATTTTCAAAAAGAAAACATCTCCCCAAGTGTAAATGTGTAATATTAAAGGATGGGAATTAATATTTTTTAATATCAGCTAGAAGAAGGGCTATGGGTTTAATTTGAAGTAAAATAGACAGGATTGAATAGCAGGAAGAAACAGAAAGGAGAAGATAGGGAAGGACAAGTCTCTTTTGGGGTGTTTTTAGTAGGTTGGGAAGGCAGTTCTTTCCAACTCAGGAATTTTTCAGCTGGCAACGTACAGATTAGATTTGCCTTGCAGGCCAATTCTGCTAGATCAGAGGAAAAGGGAATGGGTGCAAAGGCAGCGTACTCTGCCCTAACAGCTGAATGCCTTTTGGTGCAGAGGTGCATGGCCAGTCATTTCTAAATTAGAAGGAAGCATTACCACATCCACGGAAGCCTACAAAAGTGTGCTTTTGTACTATCACAATTCTAGGATTGACGATATTTTCTAAAAGGAGTGAACCAAGGCTGATTTTGAGAGGTGCAAGGTCTATCTCCTATTATTTTAGCTTAAATTCCAGTAATAAATGAGAGGCCTTTTCTGAAGTAAAAAAGAGGCTGCCTAGGAGTAAAATTAGAAATTAGGAATAAATCTTAATTCCTTGTTTTATAGGCAAGGAGAAATCATTTTCATAAACTTTAAAAAAGGCCTCGTATTCACCAAATTGAGATGTATTAATTGTTTTAAGTGTAAATGCTCTGTGGATTATATATTCTTAACAGAATATTATTTTTAGCTGGTGGGGCATTAGAAAGCCTCTGTGGGTAACATAAAATATAGTACAGAAGCTAAGGGAAAGTGGGTTTTTGTACTTTTCTTATCAGCAACTAAGCTCGTCCTTAAAATCAAACTCTTTCAGAATGAGTTTATATTTTAGATTAGGTCACTTAAGTGTTTTTAAAAACTGAAGGCTGGATTACAACACACAAAACCTTTTTTGCAGTTGGAATTGATTATCCCCATGGCTGGCTGTACAAGAAAAAAGCCATAGACTTGAAAGGCACAGAATACAAAACTATTCTCATTTTCATAGAATCACAGACTGGTTTGGGTTGGAAGGGATCTTAAAGATGATTTAGTTCCAACCCCTCTGCCATGGGCAGGGACACCTTTCACTAGCCCAGGTTGCCCAAAGCCCCGTCCAACCTGGCCTTGAACCCTGCCAGGGAGGGGGCAGCCACAGCTCCTCTGAGCAGCCAGTGGCAGTGTCTCAACATGCTCACAGGGAGAAATTTCTTCCTTCTATCTAATCTAAACCTCCCCTCTGTCAGTTTAAAACCATTACCCCTCATCTTATCCCTACACTTCCGGATAAAAAGTCCCTCCCCACCTTTCCTGTAGCCCCCTTTAAGTACTGGAAGGCCGCTCTAAGGTCTCCTTGGAGCCTTCTCTTCTTCAACTGAACACCCCAACTCTCTCAGCCTGTCCCCATAAGGGAGGTGCTCCAGCCCCTGATCATCTTTGTGGCCTCCTCTGGACCCACTCGAGCAGGTCTGTGTCCTTCTGATGTTGGTGCCCCCAGAGCTGGACCCAGCACTGCAGGAGGGTCTCACAAGAGCAGAGTAGAGGAGGAGAATCCCCTCCCTGTACCTGCTGCCCACACTGCTCTGGGTGCAGCCCAGGGTACCGTTGGCTTTCTGGGCTGCCAGCACACATTGCTGGCTCACAGTCAGTTTTCCATCCACTAATCCCGCAAGTCCTTCTCCCTGGGGCTGCTCTCAATCCACTCATGGCCCAGCCTGGATTGTGCTTGGGATTGCCCCGACCCATGGGCAGGACCTTGCCCTTGGCCTTGCTGAACTCCATGAGGTTTGCACGTCCCACCTCTCCAGCCTGTCCAGGTCCCTCTGGATGGATCCCTTCCCTCCAGCGTGTCACCCCACCACACAGCTCGGTGTCGTTGTTGAACTTGCTGAGGGTGCACTCGACCCCCTGTCCATGTCACCAGCAAAGATGTTAAACTATGCCAGTCCCAACCCCTGAGGACACCACTCGTCACTGCTCTCCACTTGGACATCGAGCTGTTGACCACAGCTCTTTGAGTGAGACCATCCAGCCAATTCCTTATCCACTGAGTGATCCATCCATCAAATCCATGTCTCTCCAATTTAGAGACAAGAATGTGGGACAGTGTCAAATGCTTTGCACAGGTCCAGGTAGATGACATCAGTTGTTCTTCCCTTGTCCACTAGCGTTGGAGAATGTTATTTCCTTAATAGCTGTTCTCCCCATTTTCTTTTCATATATAATTCAAAGGTTAATGCTGTATTTTTACTGTATTTGTTTAAAATTTTGTAACTCTTGAGAGAAGGGGGGGACAACTTTCCATTGATAACTCACTTCACCTCTAACAGCATGAAATACAGTCGAAAATTTAAATTGGCAAGAGCCACTGTACAAAGAGGATAACTACCAACATTTCCAGAAAATGATGACTTTTCTCTCTTACAATTAACCAGAAACTGCATTTTTTAAATTTGTTTTGTTTGTGCATGGCAGTTATAAACAGGCAGTTTAAGCTGTCTACATACTATGTAGGGGAATTTAAATGCTTGTGAAGTATGGAAATATGCACAGTATTAAAGACAGGAAGACAATCAGAATACTGTTACTACTTGTGTCTGCTTCCATATGATTATCTGACAATGCACTTTTCCAATCTACAAGCATAAAAGACTAGATCTCCCATTAAACTACATGTTTCTTAACCCCATAAGCACAGAAAAGCTGAAAATTTTTTTTTATTTATTTTTTTTTTAGTGAAAGCTAAGTTTATAACTTACCCTACATAAGTTCCTGAGAAGGGGGAAACTGAGGAATGGGAAGAAAAGTCACCTTATCCTTTTATATTTAAGGCTAGTATGAGATCTGGGCTCCTTGGTGGTTGTAACTGTAGAACTAGTGCTGACTTTTACTAAGCTTATTTATCTGGTTTCTTTGGTTTCCAGAGATGACCTAAGGGAAGCTGTAATTTCATGTAAAGAGAGATATCTTCCTATTTTGTCTTCCTCTGAGCTTTGCAGTTAAGACCTGTTGGTGCATTATACCAACTGAATACTTGGGCTCTAACCTTTTAAAGATTAAAACTTACACTTAACCTTACACACTTTGAACAATCTCACAAAAGTCAGTAGAACTAAGGCTAATATGCAAAGGTCAACATACCAGAGTCTTTGTAGGGCTGTAATTTTAAGCAGTGAATGCCTTAGAACAGAGGCCCTGATAGAGGTTGTCCAGTGGCTGTTATAAGAGGTTGGAGCTGCCAGTTGTTATGGCAGTGCAAAGAATTAATAAGGCTAGTTATTATGGTGATAATGTGTATATCAACAAGATATTTCTGGACAGAAATTAAATACATCTGTACATGGCAAAATAAAAACATATACTTAGGATCTTAACAAATAATTTAAAGCAATTAAGGTACCATGTTCTAATGACTTTCCGTTCATCACCTGAGCCACAGCAAGTTCGCTTGCCAGCAGCCCTGCCATGCACAGGTACACCCCTTGCTGCAGACATGATGTGTTGGCTTGACACAGCTGCAGCTAATAGATTTCAGTTTCCAATTACAGTGGGCAAGGAGCATGCATCCAGTCACTTAACTCAGCTGACAGGTGGTAACTTGTTATGCCATGCTAACGCAGTCATGTGCAATCCTTTGATCATATCCTCAAATATTCTATGGGTGTTTCTTTGTATTTCCTACTGCTATTGATTATTTTTAGCTTGTTCAAGCTTCACACAAAGCTGAGAGAACACAAAATAAAACGATATGAATAAATAAGTAACCATAAAGCAAGCTTCACTGTGCATTTACCATATATATCAGCTGCTCTTCTGACCAAAAGCGTGACCTGCCTGAACTCTATTTTCCATTGAATAATGTATGCATGGGGAGAGCTGCTGGCACATATTGGTCTGCAGCTGCTTACTGTCCAATGGAAACTGTTTGTGTGCCTTAAGATGTGCCTTCACTGTTCATGTGCCATGTGCCAAGGTCAGTTCAGTGACCTTTGCAGCGCTTGTGTTTAGGATTACTGTGGCTACCCATCAACAAAGTACAAACTAAAAAAAATAAAAGGATATCCAATTTAGAAATTTAAGTTATATCTGTTCTATTTATTTTCTTCCCCCAGATTTGTAAGAGCAAAGCTAAGGAATCCCAGCAGTATTATCACAGCCTGTCTATCCGGCAGAGTCTGGCTATCAACTTTAACATCCAACAGGACTGTGGCCATTTCCTTGCTGAAGTACCAGTTCGTCTCCTTCCATGGGAGGATGCCAATGCACCAGAGGTGGAAGAAGAAGAGCAGGAAGAAGAGGAGAAGGAGCCTGAGCAAAAGAACAGAGATGCTCCTTCCAACACAGAGACTTCACAGAAAGACAGCTCAAGCAACCAGGGGACCATCAGCAAGCCACGCAGCCGTGTTGTGGTCATCACGCGGGAGGTCCCATACCTAACAGTGGCCGACTTTGTGCGAGAATCTGCGCCCCGCCATGCAAAAAGCCCAGATTTATATGAAAGGCAGGTCTGTCTACTGCTTTTACAGCTGTGTTTGGGCCTGGAGCACCTGAAACCCTATCATATCACACACTGTGATCTGCGGTTAGAGAACCTGCTGCTGGTTCATTCTAGGCCAGGAAGCAGCCCTCTGAGCTCTGAGTCCATGGAACCCAGTCCCAACACTGCCTGCCCAGCCAGACTAATAGTGAGCAATTTCTCCCAGGCCAAGCAGAAGAGTCATATGGTGGATCCTGAGGTTCTACGGGATCAGTCCCGCCTGGCTCCAGAAATCATCACTGCAACACAGTACAAAAAGTGTGATGAGTTCCAGACTGGCATCCTCATCTACGAAATGCTGCACTTACCCAATCCCTTTGATGAGAATCCAGAGCTGAAGGAGAAGGAGTATACCCGTGCTGATCTCCCCAAGATTCCTTGCCGTTCCCTCTACTCTCAAGGGCTTCAGCAACTTGCCAGCTGCCTGCTGAATCCCAACCCTTCAGAGAGGATCCTGATATCAGAAGCCAAGGGAATCCTTCAGTGTTTGCTTTGGGGTCCACGTGAGGACTTGTTCCACGCTCTAAGTACATCTTCCAACCCCTCACGGAGAGATGCTGTACTTCAGAACTGGCTGGATATAAAAAGGACGCTGCTGATGATCAAATTTGCAGAGAAGTCCTTGGACAGGGACTGTGGAGTTATTCTGGAAGACTGGCTTTGTTGTCAGTATCTGGCTTTTGCCACTATAGACTCACTTCACCGCATTGTGAGAATCATGCAGCAGCACTAGTTTGTAGAACCTGTTGCTTTTCATGAAGCACCCCACACCTACACCCCAGCCCTCACTCCAGCCTGCCCTAGGGCTCACACTTTGTATAAGTGTTAAAAAATAGCCTAGATGTCAAAGCCAGCAACTCTGAGCAAATAGGTTCCAACTGGAGAAATTGAATCCTGTACCAAATATGACAGAAACTTTACTTTTTTGCCAGGCCTGTTGGGGATTGATTATATACACATGACTTAATTTGGATGAGACAGTATGTAACTTGTTAATATCTGGCTGAAAAGGAGAGCAAACTTTGATACCACTATTTCTACCACTGCAGTAAACAAATTGCCCTCCTCTTCTGGGTAGTTTCTGTCATTTCCGTATGTAGCATTGGTTAATGAATAGGAGTGACCATAAGCAGAGATGGATTAGTTGTAAATGTCAGAGGAATGATCCACCATGCCACAAAACGCTCATTTGCTTCCGTTCCATATACCACACTAAATTTTCTCTCAGCTTAGTCCCCCACAAGCAGACTGAACTCCTTTCTCCTTTGGTCTCAACCAAACAGATTCTGATCTTTCTCTTATGCTTTACACCTTCTCTTTTTCCTCTCCAGAGGTGGTTATCCTGCTGACTGCGACAAGTGTCAGTGGGCAGTAAGCATCTGTGTTCAGTCCTCTTTCCTCCTTCTCTGCCTCTGACTCACTGCCTACCCATATAACCACAGATCCCTGATTTCAACAATGCTGCCTTAATCAGACCATTACCCTTAGCTTAAGACCTCTGCATTAAAAAGCAGAATATGCACGCTTTGTCTATCCCATTTCCTACATGACATACACCAGTCTGGACTGTTGATGTACTGTAGCTATAATCACATTTATACAAGAACAATACAACACATGGTGGGCAATTGAAATTTCCCTTCCATTGCAAAGGCACTAAAGCCTGACTTGAAATGGATAGGATGTACGTAACCTTCTCTGACAATCACTGCTATGAATCAGGGATGAAAATAACAGCCACCTCTTCTGTTTTATTTTGGTCTGCTCTTGTCACTTGTGCCATATTGCAAAGTGGGACAGAAATTGGCTCTGCTGGTGTGTTGGCAGGAGATAGAAATGTTTAGAGCTTGTCTGTGTGTAGCTAACAGGCCACATGGAGACACTTTTACTGCAGACACAGTTCTCTGAAGGGTGAAAACAAGGGGGCAAAAACACTGTTGTTTAATTATTGAGGAAGCTGTTAAGTTTGGCAGCCACAACTAACAGTATCATGATCCATTTTCCCCACAGCGGTGTTTGGCTGCGTATTTCGTCTGTTGTAACTGGTATTTTCTAATGTTGCTATAGACAACACCCTAAAAATGGAATGTTGTCAGAATAGCTCTGAGCATTGCAGACAGAATTTTGGACTAGAACAGGAATTAGTGAGGATTAAAGAGATGGAATTTTTAAAACCTCAACCTGAAGGAGCTTTTCACTTTTAGAGGCCGCTGCTGACTTTCTTCCCTGACTTAATGGCCGTTTCCTATGGAACCTCTGCAGTTGTACCCAACGGTATCTTTGCTCAGTATTGCTAGGCTCTGAATTGTTTCCTGAATTGCTCTGAAGAATTGATCTGGACGCAGGGGAAAAAATGATACCGAATATTCTGACCCGGGTGATGGAAAGCAGACAGCCCTAGTTATGAGCCTGTGCTTCTCTCCTATGGATCTATGTGCAATTCTTGTATGTATTTTTTAAAGCTGTATGTTACAGTGTTCACTTTACAAACCAGCCTTTACCTGATGCTAGATCTGCAGCCCCTTCCTTTATTACTTTCCTGGCACATAAATGCACAGATATCCGTGTGTTCTTTTTATGGATTGATGTTTCATTTTAATTGTTAAAACTGTGAGGAATCAATTCACTTCAGCCTTGAAACAAATAGCCACTTTATACAGCATATGCATGCTTGGACCAGATGCATGGAAACTGAACAAACAGTCCTGCAGGCTTAAAGTCAGCAAAACTAGCTCTGGATCCACACCGTACATTTGGAGGGGTTGAAATGTCTCTATTGTTCTTCTCTGGCATCTATCAGAGCTAAGCTGAATAGTGTGTGGAAGCCTACATCGATTGTGCTGTAGTATAGACTGTCTTTGTGACCTTTCTAAAGATTTTTTTGAAACTTCTGATTATTGTTCTTTTGTTTGATTCACCTGTATCAGTGAAGGATCAGGCAAGGATAAGGATCATATATTTTAATGTGATTTTTTTTTCTTTCTCTTTTTGGCAAAAAGGTTAGGATGGCAGCATTGATGCAGAAAAAGAGGACAGTGCATTAAAAGCCCAAGTGCAATGTATGTAGTTGAGGTACTTCCACTACATCAGGAAAGAAAGTTTCTACACTACTGCTGAGCAGCTTGTAGAAGAACCTTTACAAAGTATCACACACACGTTCAATGCAGCCCTGCTTTATCTGGACACAGGAGGGCAATGCTCTCATAGCTTAAATAACACCGAGCATGACAAGACACTCGCTTACTATCTACTAGCTATTAGTCACAGTGTGTTGAGCTACAAGTAGGGCTTCTTGTTCTCTGTGGTCTGGTTTTGTGTTTGTTTTGTAGCGCATGTGCACACATAACTTCTCACCCAACTCACATAGGCCGTACAAGCAACTCTTGGACCACTTGCCATTGCAGTGGGCTCGTTCCTTGAAGCTGGTAGGTGGTTCCGTGTATAAGGACACATGTTCTCAGTGTCACTTTCATGTCAACACGCACATGCAAAGTTGAATTTTGAATGTTTTACAGCCATACGTATTTAATGCAGCTGGTCCGAAGCCTTTGTATCTCTAGCTATCTAATTTCAGTTTGTACCTTTTGTGATGAACCAATACTCATTTTAGCTCTGCAGTATAATCAAGCATGGATAGATGTTCACTACCAATCTCCTTCTTGTGCAGCACTGGGTAAACTTTAGCAATTTGTGATGTTGTGTGTTGTTTTTTTTTTTCTTTAAAAAAGAAAGAATGGTCAAAGTAGTCAAACACAATCCGGCCTGAGCTAATCCTTGGAGAGCTTGAGGCTGACTTTGCAGATACGCCCATAGCCGATGATTGTAACTGTGTTTGTGGTAGTTCTCCATACTGGGAACAGATTGTGCCACATAAATATATGAGAATGTATGCATTAAACTGATTGTAAACAAATCCTAAGAATGCTACAGCATAATTGCTAAGCGAAAGGAAAAAAACCCGCTCTGTTTGTAACTGGGATCCTGTGTATGACAGGAACAAAACCCCTGGCTGTGCATGTAATAACTTACTTGAATACGTGCACAGATCTTGAATTTTCTTTTAGCAATGTCGCACTTTCAGTTGAGCTCAAGAAATAGGAAGAGCTGCAAATCTAAGATAACAGTATTGCCTGTAAATATATATTTTTCTATGAATAAAAGCTGTCATTCAAATATTTTTAACATGAACTCTAAAGATTTTTCCACTGGAAACTAATTTCTGGAAAAATCAAACGCTTGTTTGAAGAATTATGATGAGTGGTTTCTGATCCTATTAGAGCCATTTAAAACCTCTCTAACATTACAGAGAGAGCACAGTGATTGGATTCACAATGTTTAGTGCCTTGTCAAAAACCTAAAATGTAGCTGGTCAGTTGATGGAAATCTTACTCTTTTTATAATAGCCCTAAAAATAATACTGCCCACATTAGAATGCAAACAACTTTACAAAACTAAATGCTCTACTTCCTATGATACTGAGTTGATCTCTTCAATGAGATTTGGTTTTAGAGTTTATATGAACAAGTTCCTTTAAGTTGCTTGTGGTACAGCATAAACATGCAGTAACAAAATTGTGGGCTTTCAAATTGGGATCTGCACAGGGAGAGTAATAGTGGATAACAAGTCAATTGGTCTAGACTGACCACAGGATCAAAAGAAGCCTATTGCTTTGACAATCTACTGCAGACACTCAGCTTCTAGGACATGAGGAATCTGATTCGTCTGGAAGAAGCGGTGAAGGTAAGATGTGCTGCTCCTGCTATAGGTAGTGGATGTGCTGCACACCATGCTACTCCCGAGATATTAGGAAAAATGGTTTTGTTTTCTATTTCTTAAATGGGAATTACTTATTCACTAATTATCTTTCAAACCTCAGATCTGATCCAGTCAATACGCATAACCAGGTGAATATAAAAAGAGCCTACTAGTGAAAACTTGCCTACAAATTTTCAGAAATTAAGGAATCCAGAATTTTATTCTGGAGCCTCTGAAATGTCCAAATAGAGAAGCCTGGTCTCACTTCAGTATTTCAGACATGCTGAAATCAATAACTCAAGCTAGGATATCATGTTGCTGGCCCACAGACAAGAATGCATGTAGCATTTACTGAAAAGTTCCACCTTAAATCTGTTATGCTCCACACATCCAGGCAGCACCCCCAGGGTGTGAATGGATCATCTTGACATTTTAACACAGGGGAATTCCCACATATTCGAAAGAAAAATACATTATTTAAATAAATCACATGTGTGTTAGGGTTCAGCTACTTGGAGAATCTATTCAGCAGCTTCACACTATAGGTCCTTAACTTTAGCATGTAAAAATAGTATTTGCTGCTGAAATGAAATGTATCTGTTTCTCAGTTCTTGTGCTGAGATGCCCCACCTAATTTTTTTTTGTTTGTAATAGCAATTAAATTCATATGTAAATATAAATTAAGTAGTCTTGGTTTTATTTAAATTAAATGTAACTTTTCTGAGGGATACAATGGAAACTGAATCAGACCTTTTAATGCACTTTCCTTTCCTCCTCTCCCCAAATAGGAATTCAGCTGTTTCTCTGCAGAAACAGTACATGACCATTATTCCCTGCATGACTAGGTCATCTATTTCACTCTGATTTTGCAGAGGTAGTGTTGGTTCTGCTCAGACTCCTGTAAAACCTAGAGCACAGTCTGAGCCCTTCAGCCCACTGAGAGAGAGATGTGATGGTGATTTAGTTATGCAGTAAGATAACATCAGAGAAGTGCAGAATCGAATTTTAAATACCTCTGTAAAAATACACCTGTGGAAATATTCTGTAAACAACCACCTGGATTCCAAACACTTCAAGGGATGAATTCACAAAAAATACTTTTAAAAAGAAATACTGGGGAGAAATTTCTTTAGGGCACCCTCAACTCCAAAAGGAGGAGCAAGTCTTTCCCACTGCGATGTTGCAGAGAATTTCTAGTAGATGTTTGTTTGGATTTTATTATTCACCTGGATGCAGTATTAGAAGGATGGTAACTTTGAATAGGTGTAGAGTGTAATTTAAATAATTTCCTGTAAGTCTCCTTGCATTGGTACTCCACTCAGCATTTAGTTGGAAACCACAGAATGCTTTCAGATCAGAGTTGCCAGTGAGAAATGGAATACTGAACTTACCTGTACATAAGCATTTTTCCACTCTACAGAATTTGAGCATTTGGTTTGTACTTTAGACTTTTTTTTTTTTTTTTCATAAATCCAAGGGGAAGATTTCAGGGATTTAGAAGAGTTTGGAATTTTTTTATATGGAGGAAATATTTGTTCATATATATATATACATACATATATATATATATGTGTGTGTGGGCATGTTTTAATATATATATGTATGTATATAAATTTTTGTATCCCAGAAGCATTCTTTGCCCCTTTTTGCTTGAAAATATATATATTATATATTGTATATATAATATATATTTAAGAGTGTGTAAATTTGAATATAGTCATTTCATAAATAACACCTCTTCAAAACCGACTTGAAACTACTGTTTCTTTGTCCTTTGGCTTGGTGGTATTAGAAGGTTTTGCAGTTGAAATCCTTGGGTTTTTTTCTTTTAAAACTTAATTATGCTGAGCATTTAAGAATATGTTCTTGTTTTTAATAAAAGGGGGAAATTTATTTTTCAATTAGGGATTCCAAAATCAATGGACTTTTATAACAGAATTTCTTTAAATCCCTTGAATAAGGGATTTTTTTTTTTTCAACTCCATTCTTGTGGGTAATTTGTATTTGGAATTCCTGGTTGCATTGCTTTATCTGGTGCTTCATATTGATATTTACACGTTTTTATATAAATAAGTATATAAAATTCAAGCCTTCCTTTGTGATCAGGGGCAGTTACACTCTGGTTTGCTGTGGTACTTTGCTGTGTACTCTGTGGCATTCATGTTACTGTGTAAATAAACTAGTTTTATTACACTCAAAATCAAACTTGCTGTTGTCTCATTTTTTCTCTTCCTAGGCAATTAGATGAAAACGTGTATTTCTGAGGAAAATGCATGTGGCAAGTCCAGCAAAAGATTGTCCTACAAGAATAGCTGGCTGGTTTACAGCAGCAGCTGGTGTGCAAATGTGGCAGATACAAACTTTGGTTGACGAGTCTGACAGTCGGCACCTCCAGACATGCCACCAGGGTGGCTGGGCATCCCAGCTGCTGGAATTGCCAGTGCTTGGGACATTGCACCACCTCCCACCTCTGGCATTCTCCCCAGAAGTTTCACCGTGGCTGGCACTATTTCAGCTCCATCTGGACAAGTGGCAGTGGCAGGCCAAAAATAAACTGGCCACCAGCAGCTGCTCTTGACTGAACCAGTGTCTGTCTTGTAAGGCCTTCTTGGAGAGAAGTGACGACACGGAATGAAATGGAGACAGCCACATGTCCACACTGGGGCAGCCATTATCACTGAAGGAGCTGAGCCAAAGGTAGCAATTTCCCTAGTGTGGACAGGGCTTACATGACCTGCTGTGAAGGAATAAAATGACTTTTATGTCAAATGTCTATATGCTGTGACAAAGCAGGATGCCTCTGAGGCAGTCGTCTGCAGTGGAATTCATTTTGTGTCTGATGTTACCTTGAAGCATACAGCCTGATGGAGTGTCTGTGAAAAACAGATGGGATAATATGCATCTTCCACGATCATGCAGACACACTTCAGTGGCAGTGAGATCAAACAGCTCAATTTTGTACCCAGATTTGATAGGCAGCAATGGTGGCTGCAGATGCTAATTTATTAGCACAGAGCAGATGACGCCATATACTTCGGAGCAATGCTGTGCTTCTGCGGGACAATCGCACTGCTCACAAATACTTTAAAAAAACCCCAAACTCAAACAAATAAAAAAAGGACCCTGAGGGCTATATTCTTCTACAGTTATGGCTTTGCACAGGTATGTCATCAATTTAAATGTGATCAGAATTAGTCTAGAGTGTAACTACTACAGGCCTTTCACATTCATTCCTTAGATACTGTTTCAAAGCCTTTCAAAACCAGTTTAAGCTATTGGCCTCATGCTTTTAAAAATACAAGGTTAACTGACTCCAGAGGTGTCAGTAAATATGCAACAGGTTTAACAGCCTGGGAGATATTTTGTCTTTGCTAGCATAATCCCTGTTCACTTTAACAAAGTGCCATGGATTTAGCTAAACAGTTAGATTATTCCATTTGGCAGTGGCAATCACCACTCTGTAGGGAAAAAATATGCAAAAATAGACTGAATCCTTGTCAAGGCATGATAATTATACTAGTTCAACTAAAATCTGTTTGAAATTAACTTAGTTATGTCAGTGCAAACTCTCTTGTGGGTGTCCTTAAGCGGTCACAGTCTGGCATTCTCATTTCAGCTTGTGCCAGACGTGAATGCAAGCGAAGCCAACAGATGCCTGGTTTCGACTGATGCAAGAATGTCTGTATCAGGTTTTTCACCAACTCAGAAATTCACCTTATGATATATGGGCCCTAAGGATCTATGTTCCTCTACATGATAAACCTTTATTTTCTAGAAAATATCCATGCATCAGTTGAGTTCTGCAAACTACTGCTTTTGCCCAAGTTTAGTGAGCTTCTGTGCTGCCATATATGAATCACACCATCCTCCTTACCCAGCAGTGGTTTTAACCAGAGTCAGACAGAAGCAGCTAGCTCCCAAGGCAAGCTGCTCAAGTTAAACATCTACCACATCTATCCTGCAGACAAAGCCTGTAGTTTCCTTTCAACTCTGAGCTAAGACTCTTAGTTCTCTGGAGAAAGATACACATTAAAACACCACGCTGGGCCTTCAATCTACCACAGTACACTCAGTACTGCTGCTGCTATCTCAGGAGGCAACACTGGATCCTGGTGTTTAGCCCACCCACCCACTTACTTGGAAGATGGAGGCTGGCTTTTTGCTATCAGCTCAACACTTTCAAATAGCATAAAAGTCTTTGTCTGGCAAACAGACACTGGGGGAGCCACTGGGAGGGCAGCTTGGAGGCTCTAAAGCAGATTTGCATATATGAAATCTGAGAACTCAAAATTATAGCTATTGAATGTGCATTTTCTATTAGCATCTCCCGCTCTCACCCCTTTGTTTTGCAGTCATTAAGGTGTTCTTTTTGTCACATTGCAGCAGTCAGGACATGAACAGAAGAAGACACTGGAAGTAACTGACAGTCATTTAAAGTAAAGCCACAAAACTCCCTACTACATCTTATACTCCAAAAGAGAAAGGAAGGGGAGTGGGGAGGTTTATTGTAAAGGTATTTACCAATGTTTCTTCTTTTTGGTATCAGCCAGTAGCCCCCATCCAACAAGCATGTAGAAAGCTGCCTTCTGAAGCTGTTGTGTGTTTTTTTCCAGGTGCTGAGATGTGCTATGTCACTGCTATCACCCAAAGCACCTGGCTTGGCTCCCTGGGGTGGGGGAGAGCCCATACCCCCCTGCACAGTACCATGCTGCCATTTAAAGACAGACAGCCCCAGGGATAGCACCTGTACGCAGGGGGCAGTTACAGATCTAGCATCAGATGCTAGGTTTTGCCTGATTTCTTTGGAGTCTTAATGGTCCAGATTACGTGAACAGCAGAAAATTAACCTTAAAAAACATGAAATCTCTGCAGTTTCTCTATAAGAAGCAAGTTATTAACTTTGCACCTCTCCAAAGTGCAAAAGAACATAAATGTTCCTCTAAAGAAAACAGAGAATTAAATCAAGATAATAAAATTCTCCTGGTTCCTACATGGGTACTAAATTTAAATGAAGTTACTGTTGGAAATGGGCCAGTAGTCTGCCCATGTGCAGCCACTACCTCGATCATCAAAAGAAAAGGAACATCCCATAACCTGCAAGTCAGTCATGCAGCTTCTCTTGTCCAGGAGAGAAAGTCTTCTTCCAAACTTTTTCCATTTATTTTACTGCAAAAGAAGTTTACACTCTTTCATATTAATACTTCATCTTATGTATTTGTGTTTGCACGGGCATTACTGCTAAAGCTGCGATCACAGGACACGAGGGTGTGCTTTGGCTTCAAACAAGAAGGAACAACAGGTCAGATGATGCTGTAGGATACCGCATGGCAATTTTTTTAATGACATTAGTTATAAATGTTTTAATACATCCACTGTTTCATAAAACCCAGACCCAGAACTTTACCGTCATTAACCCTTTTGCAGCAGTGAACCACTCAAATAATTTCCCTATGGCGTATCATCACCTTGAAGGCTTCAACATGTCCTTCTATAGAAACTTCAGCACACAATCCTACTCTCTTCATTGCTGTGAGTGAGACATTTTTTGTCTGTATGTTTCTGAGGTGATGTAGCTCAAACTGTACGACTAGGAGTAAGAGTATCAGTATTCTGTAGAACATATTTCATCTCTGGCCTATCAGCACCCTATTTGTTTGTTCTGGGCAGACATCTTCATGCATAGAGCCTTGACTTTTGAAAATTATGGATGTTCACATTAGACTAGTTTATTTTGTATATGGAATTAGTCCATGTTCATCCAACTCAAGATTTCCTTTTCTGTTTTTGTCTGCTTTTTCAAATAATTCAAATCCATTTGGAGTCTTCTATAAGCTTCTGCAATTTATGCAAATCTCGAACAGATTTTTATTTGTGATTAATCACTTCTCCTTCCAAATCAGCAATCGGAAACATTGAACTAAGACTAGTTCTTGGACACAGTTGTCAGTCTTCCGTAAAGAATTTTTACTTGTTACAGAATTTTTGTTCTCTATCCACAGTCAGAAGGGATTTTCTCCACTCAGCAAAAGTAAAATACAAATACAACGTGAGTTTTGTCCTGATCCTAAAGCACTTTACAAGAAGGGCATAATTCCTGTGTCACAGATTCAGCAACAGATGCACAGCATGGCAAAGGAATGTGTTCAAGGATACAGCAAGCCATTTGATGGGAAAAGTATGCAAGAATCCAGGACCCATTCATCTAAACCATCTCCTACAGTATTTATACTTACATGTTATTGACCACTGACTCACAACTGTCTGCTATGGCTTGGGAGCCTCCATCAATTAAATCTATCACAGAATGATTTTTATATAAATATAAATTCATTTTGTCAATTTTAATAATATTTGCTCAAACAAGAAAGTAACAAGATTACACAGCCTCTAAAAAGAAAGGAATCCAATGCTATACCACTGGAGTAGCAGATCAAGCTGCTCTGACATCCATTTCAGGTCCAATATGCATCTAGATTGAGTCCTCTGCCACTTCACCATCCTTTTCTGTCTCCCAGCATGGTATCAATATCTCTGCTTTGCAGGAGACAACTCTGCCTCGGAGCACCTCTTCTGCTTGGACCAGCCCTGCTCCCGGCATTGCTGAGCAGCCTTTCTTACACGGAGGGCATGGGCAATGAGCCTCATTATCATGAATAGGAGTCAGCAGTCCACTGCCTTGACACACTATCAGTGTATCAGTCTGTGTGTTTCTTAAGTCCCCAATCTGCTACATTATTATGCTCATGACTTCAGGCAGTCTCTACTGCAAGCATCAAAGGCCCTCCTGTGATTAGTACAAACAGTTCATACTGCTGTCCAAAAGGAGTGTGGGCCCTTCTGAGATGGTGTATGATACCTTTCATCACCGTATCAGTGTAAAATACACTGCATGGAGCTGCAATGAGAGTGCTGAGATCTTAGGCAGAGAGTAAGGGCATATTGGACATGTCAGGACACTGTGTAAACCTTCTTTTTGCTATTGGGCAACTTGCAAAACAGCAAACTGTCAAGGCTCTTTCTCCTGCTTTAGTCAAAAGGCAGACTCCTTAACAGCTTGGGATCCCTCATACTGTGCTGGGTATCGTTCCAACACCAATGCACTGGAAAAATGCCATCTGCTGAGCAGCAGACCATGGGCTCCATTCACCATGATCACTCAGGCATCAGGAAGAGTCACAGTGGAGGCAGGTGGAAAACAGC